ATTTGAAATTTAGCATTTAAACAATTGGAAATATCTATAAAAATGTTAAACATTTAAACCGAAAAAAGGAGAAAATTTAATAACCAATTTATGAATTCTCTGAGTCTAAGTAAAAATAGTTTTCAGACTGAAAGTCTAGACAATCAGTTTTTAAAATATGAAATAACAATTAAGGAATAATTTAAAATTTCATAGTCTTAAAAACAAAATATGTATTATGTCTTAAGTACACAAAATACTACTACTGAAAGTAACTCCAACTTATATATGTTCAAGAAAAAAGATATAGCACAGAAACCATCTGATTCAAGCTTCTTTTGACCTTATTATCATAAAAATGTCCAAAAGATTAGAAAAGAAAAAAAAAATCAAGAATTGCTTCTTCCATGCTGTATTACGGGTGGAGAGCTGGGAGAGTCATTACCGAACATGGGACATGCACATTACCAATAATGCTGTCATTGGACTGAAAAGCAAGAGTACTCACTGTTGTATATCTTATTTGAGCAGCATTACATATTAATGGTTTTTAGACCATGTCTTTCTGGTTCTTTCTAGGGATCAAACTGCATACAACGAGGCATACAGAGCAAATTGTTTACATGTATACATGCACATGCATACTCATACATGCATGTGCCCTTAATCACAATCATACTAATGCACACAGACAAAAACACATACACACAAATACAGTTATAATCCACAGACAAATAAACAAGAAATATCATTTGTGTATAACAATATTCCAACAGTTACATATTCACAGATGTTTTTTTTTCAGAACTTCTTTAAGGAATACAAAACAAGTCTTTCATGTCACTTACCAAAAGCAGAAATAATCATAAAACGAGAAAAGAAACACTACAAGCTCTCTAAAACACTCTCACGGATCTGAAAGAAATGTAAGGAAAAGGAAACCAGATACGTGCACTTAGCTGCAATTTAATATAGGAATTTATTAAATTCAGGAGGCTAAACGAACGTTCCTGCGACAAAAGAGGTATTACTTTGAAACTATTGTCTTTCTTTCTTTCTATTTTCATAACAGGTTATTCATTTGAGAGTGTATTGGAAAATGCAGGAGGGGAACCATCTCTAGATGAAGGCGAGGCGAGGAAGAACTGAACTTGCAATGAAAAAAAGAGCCTTTTCCTGATTTCCTTCAAAATTGGGGTATATACAAAGATGTGAGTCCTTACATTCTGCCAGCTTCTGATGACGTAAAATTTAAGTAGGATTCTGAGAATGGAGGGATTGAACTGCCCTGAAAATATATTTATTTTTCTTCGTATGTAAGTGCAGATACTCTTTCGATCGTGCATGGCGTTCTTACCTAAATTTACATTGTACCGATAAAGATGAAGAAAAAAAAAATCAACGTTACCAGCAATGACATTGTAAGGAAATAAAAGACCTGTCCAGAGAAAGTTGTAAAAATTGAAACACTGGTAGAATTTAGCATAAGGCAAAATTAGTTGCGGCCCGTGGCCCCTCCTACACCCAACAAACAAACAAGGTATTGCAAAAGATTTCAGTGCGTTTATCTGCAGGAGAGCTATGGGATGACAACATAGTAATATTCCCAGTATGTGTTTCCTAATATTTATGTGTACATTATTGTATACAAGTGTGAGCACAAGTTCACTATGCATACTAAACAGTATGTTTTAATTTTCCTGTTGTTTTTATGGTGGGGGGAGGGAAAACATGGGAAAAGGTAGTGTTTGCAAGTTGGTTGTATATGCTATACATTAATAAATATATCATCTAATACTTGGTAATTCCAATTCACATTGTGTATAAGAGGTGCTATGATGCTCAAGAAAGAAAAGGGATAGATATCGTCTGTTCTGAGGATGTGTGTTTGTTGTAGGGGGGGAAGGTATTGGAAAGAAACTGCCATCAGTTACAGGAAGGAAGGGACGTGACACACGAAACCGGATACCTCACACTGACAGAAGAAAAATCAAGGGAAAAAGGAGGTCGTCCAGGCAAATTGTTTTGAAAGGCTAGCTAATCTTGTTTTCAATCCAGTTGTTTGAAGCATAGAGTCAAAAAGACGCTCAAGTAATACACTATCGGGGAGAATCAGAATATAATACGGGGACCAGCATTTATTAGCTTCCGATATTACATGAGCGAGAAGAGTATTACTACTTGGTAGTATAAAAATGAGGGAAGATGTATCCAAGAAAAAAATTACAACATTACATAGGTTAGAGTATACATAGAGAGTGATAGAAGCGAAGTAATTCTACTTGAGAGTTCAAAAGAGAGTACAGAGAGAGATATGAAGCAGATTTGAGATAATAATATTTCAAGATGTGTTACTTTCGAGTGCAAAATAGAGTGCGACCACACTTCCTTATGTATGTCTCTTGATTGAAAATCAAAAACATGAAGTGTAGAACTGCGCAATTATGCTGGCTATTTTTGATGAAGAAAGAGATATGACTTCACAGGAGAGAGAGAGTAACGAGAGATAGGATAGTTAATAAGACGAATATGAAAGCCGAGGTATAACTCACGTTTCAATCGAAATGCGGTTGTTAGAGTTTAACGACATAAATTTTAAGTGTGTAACAAAAAGAGAAAGTGGGAGAAAAGAAAAGAGAATAGGATTGAACAGATACTAAATTAAAATAGGAATCATTCAGCACGCTTAGGAAGCAATAGGATGGTAAAACATGGTACATATTGCGAAGAAAGTAAAAGTAATTTGAGCTCCTCTCGTGTGTAAAGATCACAGCGAAGACACCACAAACTGATTGACAACACCACACACACCACATAAAAACAAACACACCAACATAACAAACCAGAGAACGGAAAGAGAAGAAGATAACAACATGAGCCGAATGGAAGAAGAAAGAGAAGAGAAAGCTAGCAGATTACCAGTTTTCAAATGATAACCACCAAACATACACCTCAAACTCGGCCAAGCCACCACATCACAAAAGGAAATTCATTGAACCACTGCTTCCGGTCTCCACATTATTATTCTAAGAATTAGGTGGAAAGGACAACCAGAAGTATATGATACTGATGTTAGGAGTGCGAGAGACGTGTATGCTAAGGAAAGGAGAGAAAAAGTAGGGCGGGACAGAAAGATATATATGAGAAGATAAGAAAAAGAGAAAATGAAAGAAGAGAGAGGAAAAGAAAGAGAAAGCTGGCGGTACAAAAACTTACTGACTGCTAGATAGTGCAGGGAATAAGTAGTAACCCGAGGTGTTTAAATATAGTAGATTGAAAAATGAAGAGAGCAGATATAAGTGATAACACAAATAGTAAGTAAAGAATAAATATGAAAAAAGTAGCTGGACACGTAAAATATGGAAAATTTATCAACAGTGTAGGATGATGATAAGAACTTCCAAAATGAGAAGAAAACCGTATTAGACACTATATAGAAAAATTTTAATGAAGAGTAAGAATAGTGATGTTAGCAGAAAAAAATAATAGAACAGAGATAGAGAGAAAAGAAGAGGAAATGAGGGAGGAATAAGTAGAGAAGAAAGAGGAGAGAAAGAGAGAAGGGGAAGAGCAGGGACAAGAAAGAAAAGAAAGAATGAGACAAAGGTTTTTGGGAGGCAAGATAAGAGAGAAGAGAAAGAAGAGAAGAAAAGGACGGTCAGAGTAAGAAAGCACGCCAGGCACGGAGGGGGAGATGAGAGGGCGGCAAGAGATAAAAGAGAAAGCAGAGAGAAAAAGAGAGCGTCGAGTGCAGGTCAAGAGAACGACGGACAGGAAGAAGCCCGAGGGAGAACAGCAAAGCGTAGGCAGCCCGGCCGGAGGGAGAGGCAAGAGGAACCGACCGCAAGAGAGAGAGCAAGAGAAATAGATATACATCATCACTATCCCCCCTCCTCCGTCGCTCTCGAGTGTGACGCAAAAGATACTCCTCTTTCTCTTCTTGCCACTTCTTCCCCCCCCCCCACAAAATAATAACTACCACCGAGCCCCCCTTTCCCCACAAGTCAAGCATCAAGCCCCAGCATGCACCAGGAAGGACGACCGTGGGGTCGCTGAGAGCCGCCGACCGGAAGAGAAACACAGTCGAGGTAGCACCCCCATGTAGGCAGAGAGGCCGATGTCGGAGCCCGACGAGAGGGAGAAGGGCGTGAGAAGGAGAAGAGGAGACAGAAGCGAGAGAGAGGAAGGAGAGAGAGAGATCGGAGGAAGATCAGGGAGGACAGAGAGACGGGGGGAGAGGAGGATGAAGAGAGGAGAGGGGAGACGAGAAGTTATAAAAGCGTTTAAAACCCTTCATTCATAGTTGTTGAAATCATTTGGTGGTTCGTTGTAGTGAAACACTGATGTGGCTGCACACTTGTATTAAAGAACACAAGATAAGATCACTACGAAAATGCTGCAGTCAGTGTGGAGTGAAGCAGGCCGATCCACCAGAAGGCGCAGGGTCGCGGGGTATGAGCTCAGGAGCCGTGTCATCAAGTGTATGTATATGAAAGCGAGGTCGATCCAGGTCATCCTTATATATCTTTGACCGCTGTGTGTGAATATGTGTGTGGGGCGCAAGCATGGCCTGGGTTCACATGTGAGGACCACGCGGAGTGAACATGTGGTGTGTACACGTGGCATGCTATGCAGTATGCTATATCGCTCAACTTGTAGTCTTTTCTTCTATAGTATACTGTAACGCTCTGCCACACTATAATATAATTATAGCAGTTTGCATGGCGAGTTCACCAGGCCACTGCCACGCCCACGGCCAAAAGGATATTTAAACTGCCCGACCTTGACCGAAGATCTCACACTTTCGTTAGACTGTAGAGCGCGGACCTCTGCTACCTTCCTCCCAGCTGCTGCCCACTCCTGGGCCAGGCCGGAGGGTCCCACTCAGCACTGCCCTGTTCTTCTTAGTGATACTTGTGTATTATTACAAGTGTGTGGTGTTGTTACTTTAAGATATAAGAGTAGTAGTGTTTCACTACTGCCACCAGTAATTCAATCATTCATATAGAAGGTCTTCACCACCTTTTATAGAGAGGGAGAGAGAGAGGGAGAGGGAGAGAGGGAGAGAGAGAAGAGGAGAGACGAGAGAAGAGAGAAAGAGAGAGAGAGAGAGAAGGAGAGAGAGAGAAGAGAGAGGAAGAGAGAGAGAGAGAGGAGAGAGAGAGCAGAGAGGAGAGAGAGAGAGAAGAGAGAGGAGGAAGAGAGGAAGAGAGAGAGAGAGAGAGGAGAGGAGAGAGAGGAGGAGGGGAGAGAGAGAGAGAGGAGAGAAGAGAGAGAGAGAGAGAGAGAGAGAGAGAGAGAGAGAGAGAGAGAGGAGAGAGAGAGAAGAGAGAGAGAGAGAGAGAGAGAGAGAGAGAGAGAGAGAGAGAAGAGAGAGAGAGAGGAGAGGAGAGAGAGAGAGAGAGAGAGAGAGAGAGAAAGGAGAGAGAGAGAGAGAGAGAGAGAGAGAGAGAGAGAGAGAGAGAGAGAGAGAGAGAGAGAGAAGAGAGAAGAGAGAGAGGAGAGAGAGAGAGAGAGAGAGAGAGAGGGAGGCAAACTGCTCTCCTCTTCAAGCTGTACCAGCCATACTACGTGGCCTCCCATCCTTCCTTCACTTGTCTTTGCCACCCGCTGCATCCACTTAGCTTTCTGACACTCATGCTATAGACACCTTTCATGTTTATTGTTTATGTTTATTTTAGTCAAGAGAATATTGGGATGCACTGCTTGGAGGAACACCCTGGCACATCACATATACCAAGCCGGATAGAGCAAGAGGTAAAATATATAAAAGGGTAAAGAACAAAACCAAAAAAGGAAAAAAAGAAGAAAAAACTGAAAATGCTATTTCCCCCTAAGAAAATATGTACATAAAACAAATCTGAAACCAAAATAGGGGGTACGAGGGCAAAATTACAGCAAAAAAGTGGGGGGACAAAAAAATCATTTTCAAAAAGAAAAAGAGGGAAAAAAAGGAAAAAAGGAAAAAAAAAAAAAAAAAAAAAAAACACTACTACAAACTGTATGACCAACTTACAAACGTTGCCCGTATTGTTGAAGCCGGTTAGCTCACTGGGGCTGAAGTCTCGACGCAATAGCCTAGAGACATGCACAATGAGGAGTTAGCATGCTCGCAAGAACCCAATACTGAGAAGAAGAAGGTGGCGGCAAAATCTGAGGATGACTAGGCTTCAAGACCAAGGAATGCCCAATGTTCGACTCTCAAACTCACTCTCTGCCTTGAATTGCCTTGGTTGTTAATGTGAACTCAGGAGAAATGAAAAGGAGTAGTAATCTAATTTTTTTTTTTTCCTTTAATCTATTTAATGAAACTGAAAATCTATTCATGCTCGAATGTGGAGCACTTGCATATAAATTCTCTATATTAGAAACAAAACTGCATACACCTTATAGTACCTAAACAAATGTATCTCATAAATCATAGAATATGTCGATATTGTGAAGCAAAAGTTTTAGTAAGTGGATGACTATATATAAAAAATGCAATACTTAAACCCCAAAAAGCTATATCAGTCAACATATAGGCTTAGAAAGCTGTGAGGAGCATTTGTTATACTTCAAAACACAAAAAGAGAGAAAAAGAATTATTCTGTGAATGAATGAGAACTGTCTTTCAACTTGGAATTTGGAAAAGGTTAGAAGATTAACAAAATCACGGAAACCTTCTTCCAAGTATCTTTTCAATACATATCATAAATACCTGTTCGTAAAAAATATTATAGTATGAAAGTACATCTATCCTGGTTTACACAAAATTTCTATATAGGACAGAAGAATTCCTGTTTAAGAAAATCTCTTCTGTAATGTGATACTCTAAAAAAATATATGAAGCTATCAAAATAAAAAAGCTTAGGCTTCAAACATGAAAAAAATCTACTTTCTTGCTTAACACTTCACTCATTGAGTGCTTCATTTAAATAAATGAAATGAAATTAAAAAAGGAAATGGAAAAAAGAAAGAAATATTAGGTGATTCCCAAACCAAAGCCATTTCCAAAAAAATCAAGCATTTCATGTCTCTTGTACTATAAGGCATATTAAAGATTGGATTTCCATTGTTGTCATGAGCCTGAGCTGCTAAATTCTGACTTCTTTTTCTAATGAACTTGCTTTCATTACTTTAATTCTTAAAATCATCTCATTGCATTTAATCATGATCTATTTTTTTCACCAAGTAATAAAATCCTATCAGTTTCCCAGTAAGAGATCCAATCTAATCCAATCCTTTCTTCTTAAAATGGATGGAATCTGTATCACATGGATGGTCCGTAATGTAGGCAAGCAATATCCGACATCCCCCAAGGTCCCTCGAACCCCTGAAGACTAAAGGCTTTGGGGTGTATGATGTGTGCGGCAGCCTATGATGAGCAGTCCTTAATACATGACCCTAAAATTCTCCTCAGCTTCCACTTGGGGTTGGCAACACTGTGCCTAACCCCATTCTTGGAGAGATGATATCATGCTAGCGAAGGAGATGTGTTACCAGTCAAGAGTTGTACAGTAGCCAAGGAGTGGGAACATA